ACCACAGTAGAGAGGTGAGACAAAAGCCTTCCCTACCAGAGTCGGGATCAGGCCCAGGTCCCAGAGGGTTCCAGGACAACCCAAAGTCAGGCAGCTTCTGCCCACCCAGGTCAGTGTCTCCCAGGCAGTTCTTGGGGGTGTTCAGGTCCAGTCAGCACTGGCTGTTGTGCTGTCCCTCAGACAGGCGGTTTTCTGCAGGACCTGCTACGTGGCTGCCATCTCAAGAGGGAGGTCCTGGATCTGGTGTTGGGTGTGGAGAGGCCACTGGCCCAGCTTTTCCCTCCCGCTCTGCCTCCCCCAAAGCAAGCGCGGTGTGTGGCCTGCCAGCTTCAGGACCCATTGTCTTCTGCCCATAACCTGGTGAGGTGGGAACTGTTACTGTCCCCACTTTATCACAGCTGGAAAGCTTGGGTAACTTACTCTGTGCCATAAAGCTGGGCATGGGTAGAGGAAGATTGTTTACTCGGGTCTGCCTGATGTCAGAGACCTGCTTGTACTCACTAGTACCCACCAGATCAGCCCAAGAACGTAGTGGCCATTCCCAAGAGAATTTGGGACGGGGTCCCATTACCTTTCAGGCTACTTTGCAAATGCCCACTTACCCTGTGGGGTTGACCAGTTGTTCTCAAACCTGCCTGAGCCTCAGAATCAGCTGGATGGTACATTTTAAAACAGAAGGCTGAAAAAATAAATAAATAAATAAAATTTAAAAAAAAAAAAAACAGAAGGCTGCCCTCTGCCCCAGCATTCCCGACTCTGGGAGTCTGGGTCGTGGGGTCTGGGAACATGCATTCCTAACAAGTTCCCAGGTTATACTGCCATCCCCAGCCTCACTAATACTCTTCGACAACCACTGGGGAGCACCAGTCCTGCTCAACAGAAAATACACCAACATATTAACCTGTCAGGGCCTGCAGAATATTTGGAGAACTAACTCTAGGTTGTACTATCCTTTGAGTTTTGAAATAATTGTTTAAATGTTTACTGAGGTCTATTTGATTTATAACATGTTAATTACCACTGCACAGCAGAGTGCCTTAGTCATACACATGTATACATTCTTTTCCACTGTTGTTATCACGGGATGGTGAATATAGTTCCCTGTGCCATACAGTAGCACCTCATTGTTTATCCATCCTATATATACCAGTTTTATACATCTATATGTATCATGTGTAATATATGTATAAATCGCGTCTATACATCAGCTTACCCACCCTGTACATGCCAAGCCCTCGGTGCTTCCCTCCCCCCCTCGGCGGCCATCCGTCCATTCTCCGTGTCCCTGTTTCTGCTTCCTCGGTTCAGTTCAGTCACTCAGTTGCGTCTGACTCTTTGCGACCCCACGAAAACCTGTTTCATCGATAGGTTCATTGGTATCCTATTTTAGATGCCACATAAAAGTGATATGGTATTTGTCTTTCTGATTTGCTTCACTTAATGTGATAATCTCTAGTTGCATCCACGTTGCTGTAAATGGCATTATTTTGTTCTTTTTTATGGCTAATATTCCATTTTACACACACACACACACACCCCATACCTTTATCCATTCATCTGTTCCTTCCATCTCTTGGCTATTGTAAATAGTACTGCTCTGAACATCGGGGTGCATGTATCTTTGTGAATTGTAGTTTTGTCCAGATATATGCCCAATATGATTGCTGAATCATATGGTAATTCTACTTTTAGGTTTCTGAGGAATCCCCATACTGTTTTCCACTGTGGCTGCACCAACTTGCATTCCCACCATTTATGTAGGAGAGTTCCCTTTTCTCCACACACTCACCAGCATTTACTATTTGTAAACTTTTTGATGATAGCCATGCTGAGTGGTGTAAGGTACCTTCAGTTTGTAGGAAATATCTTTTTTAAGTGACAGGAATCAAAGGGTACCTCAAGTACCTTCTATTTCTTTTTTAAAAATTATGTATCTATTATACTTGGTGGGCATTCTCTAGTTGTGGAGAAAGGGGGCTGCTCTCCGGTTGCAGTACACGGGCTGCTCCTCGTGGTGGCTTCTCTTGTTACGGAGCACAGGCTCTAGGTTTACGGGCTTCAGCAGCTGCAGCACATGGGCCCAGGAGTTGCGGCACGTGGGCTTAGTTGCTCTGTGGCATGTGCCATCCTCCCAGACCAGGAGTTGAACCTGTGTCCCCTGCATTGGCAGGATGACTCCCATCTATTGTACCACCAGGGAAGCCCAAGTGTGTTACATTTCTGAAGAAGTATTTCAAAGAAAACATGAAAAAAGGCCACCCAGGTATTAGTTTACCTCTGTGTTTTCTGTATGTTTAAAATTTTCCAGTGACTTTTAATGAAAAGAGCTGTAAAGTGAACCTCTGGCGGTGAGGCTCATATTCATGGGAGAGGATTTTCCTACCTGAAGGCTTCTCCCCACTCACTGGAAAAAAAGTGTTGCTATTTCCCAGCACCGTGCTGTCTAAACATGCCATGTCTGGGAGGGCATCTCCTCACTCAGTCACGTGGAAAGCGCAGTGAGCACTGCCACCACTTCAGTTCACTCTAATTTTGCTCAGCGTGTGGAACCTTAGGCCTTAGGCATCTATCCTCCACACTGCGTTGACAGTCCATGCAGGCGAGCTCTGAGTCCTCCTGGGTGGTTTTGTGAGAGGCATGCCTGTCACCGAGCTCTACGGAAGAAGGCTGAGGTGCTGAGGGAGGGCCCCTCTCTCTCTTCAGGACGAGTCACTCTTGGACAGCTGTCATCCGCAGACGCCCCGCCGGCTCCCCGCGCCCTCTGCTGACGATGCCGGTTGCTCTTTCACGCTTCCCTTGCGCTGCTTTGTTTATGACGTCGCACCTGAAGCGTCCCAACTGGAGGGCGTTGCTGCTTGTCCCGTCTCATCCTTTTTAAAATACAGCTTGAGAATACATAGCACCGATCGATGAATAATTTTTAACCTCCTTCCTGTCTTCTCAGCTTCCACCTTCTCTCCAGAGCTTGTCACAATAGCCCCCAAAAGGGTTCCTGTCTCTGATCTTGCGTCCCTGCATCCCTCCTCAGTACAGCAGACAGAGGGAGCCTGTTAAAATGTAAGGTGAATCCTGTCACTCCTCTAGTATAGACCCTCCGGGGGCTTCTAAATCTAATTCTAGAGAGAAAACAACCTATGAGGCCCTATGAGACCTGGCATTCTGCCCCACACTCTCTGACCAGCTCTCCCCGTTCACCCCCGGTGGACACGTGTAAGTAACCATCACCACCTCTGAAGAGGTGTTGTGTGTTGGTCAGACTGATCTAGCTCCGTCCTGATGGACTCAGGGGTGGTGGTGGGGCCTCAGAGAGTCTGTGGTGATCGGGATCTTTTATGCTGGCCAGAGTTCTCTGACTTGAAGACCACCAGAGCCCTGGGGAGTCCTCTTCCTCATGTGTGTGGACTACATCCCTTCCACCCTTCCCTCCCTGGAAGCCTCAACTTCTTGATAATGTGTCACAGACAAGAATGGGACGTTCTTGTCACATCGAGATTGTGAGGCGATTGCACCTGCTGGCTGGGGGCCTGTTGCCCCTGTTGCTGCGAGGTGAGGAGGGCAGGTCTGGGCTCAGGGCAGTGAGACAGCCGGTGGATACCAGTTCCTGCTCCTTGCTCAGCACCTCACAATGGAAGTCTTGGGGAGACAGGGCTGTGGAATGAGGCGACGTCAGCCTAGGCCCAGCTACACCGGATTCCAGCCACGAAATGTCTCACAACCTCCACTTCCAGGTTGGTAACAGCAGAGATGATGGTGCCAGACTGGCCTGTTTGATGAGAGCTAAATAGGCCCCTTGCTTGTTTATCTGCCATCTTTCCAAAGCCAGTTCCATGCGGGCTGTGTCAAGTGCAGGGGCATCCAGAGAAACTGCTGTAGGTCTTGAGATCCAGGCTGCAGTTTTCCTGTGGTCCTCACGCTGCCGTGGGACTCTAGAACCCACAGAGACATTCATGGCATATCACATTCCTGGGGTTCGGGCCAGGTGCTCCTTAGAACTGCCAGCCCCTGCTTAGCATTGCCACAGCGTGGGTGGCCAAGGGCCCCTTGGACCAGCCTGTGTCCCTATGAAGGATTTATCTTCATCCATGATGGGGGAGGAACAGCCGTGGAAGCCTGGGGGCACCCTGCTTTCTAAGTTGTGGCAATACTACAGAAGGTGCCCCGCACTGCCCTTCTTTCCAGCTCCCACCCCCTGGGGCGGCTGTCAGCGGTCTGGGGTGTGTATGCACAGTGCGTGTGTGTGCGTGCACACACAGAGTCTGTAGGTCACACTGTAGATACTTTGTTCTTCACCTTGCTCTGTTCCTTTAATGCATCCCTTTTGTTAAGTCTTGTCCATAAGCACACCTGTTTTGTTTCGTTTTTTAATTTAAACTTTTTATTTTGTATTGGGGTATAGCTGATAAATAATATTATGATAGTTTCAGGTGGACAGAGAAGGGACTCAGTCATACATATACGTGTATCTATTCTCCCCCAAACTCCCCTCCCATCCAGGCTGCCACATAACATTGAGCAGAGTTCACTGTGCTATACAGTAGGTCCTTGTTGGTTATCCTTTTTTAATATAGCAGTGTGTACAACTATTTTTATGACATTTTTCATCCTATTTCCTCAAACTCTCTCCACCATAGTCATAATTATTTCCATAATGTGTACATAATTTTCTTTGTTTTGATATATACTATAATTCACTAAACCTTATATTCCACGAAACATCTCTGTGTACCTTTTTACTTCTGTGGAATTATTTCCTTAGAATTAGTTTCTAGAGTCCACATGTTGTCTTAAAGGGCATAAAGCTTTCCAATATTCTTCCCGTCGTTTCTTTCCCAAAAGGTGATGTCAGTGTACAGTGCTAGGAAGAGTGCTTTTTGTGGTTGATGTTTCGGCGTTACCAGCTGGGTACCGCTGGGGTAGGAGGGCATGGAGGAGGATGAGGAGGGAGAGAGCTGTTAGCAGCGACTGGAGATGCAGTGAGTTGGCTTGTTTTGCCTCCCCAGCACGACCAGCTCCACAGCCAGCAGCTGTGACACGGAGTTCACTAAAGAAGATGAGCAACGGCTCAAAGACTACATCCAGCAGCTCAGGAACGACAGGGCGGCGGTCAAGCTGACCATGCTGGAGCTGGAGAGCGTCCACATCGACCCTCTCAGCTACGACGCCAAGCCCCGGGGGGACAGCCAGCGGCTAGACCTGGAAAACGCAGTGCTGATGCAGGAGCTCATGGCCATGAAGGTATCCGTGTTGGGGGCGGGGGTGCTCTTCTCACACCCTCCTCCCCTGCACTCCGCGTCACCCGGAGGAAACATAAAAAGGCCTCTCGAAAGCTGGTCGGCCGTCCATGTTCAGTTGCCTCTCCACAGGAGGACGGCCAGAACCTCGTGTGTAGACAGGAGTGGTTTCAGTATGTCTCAGGGTCCCTTGGGCTGGAAGTGCTCCTGGAGAGGTGCACTGAGCACTGGCAAAGTCTCGGGGGTCCCAGGCCAGAATGGAGCACCCCGTCTCCAGGAGAAGCCAGAGGAGGCCTCTGTAGGCTGAAGCAGCCTCTGTAGGCTGAAGCAGCCTCTGTTCGGTCTCCAGAGTGCTTGCAGGTGCTTCCCGGGTTGACGCTGATGTTCCGGCGAGCCGGGGAGAACAGGGCCAGGCCAGGGCAGCATTTGGACAGGAGCCCTGGCCTCCTGACCCCCTGGTCCCTTCGGGCACCAACACTCATCATCCCCATCACACCCCGGGTGCCAGTTCACCCTCGGTGGAGGTCTTGTCTTCTCGGTGGTCCTGGGCCATCCTAGGTGGAGATATCCCTGTAAATGCTTGCAGCCTTGACCTGTTCGGACCTGTCGGTTTCAGAGGTTTAGGGCTGGTCTTTGTTATACTCTTGGCTGAGAGCTCCTGTTGCCCATTCATAATCCATCAGGTTTGTCATCTGATTTCTCAGAGGAGGCTTTTCTTCTCTTTTCCCCCAAAACCTGAGTGAGGACACCTCTGTCCTGGCCACGTCTCCCGGTAGGCACTCTTCTAGTCTCCTCTACGAGGTAGTGCTCCCGCCGGGCTCTCTGGCCTGGCTGTCCGCCCTGCCCTTGTGCAGGTGCTGAAAGCCCAGGTCCTGGGCCCCCTGCCCATCCGAGGCTGCAGGGGCCGGCACTGTGACTGCCTCATCTTTCCTCTTGGGCAGAACACCCGCTTCATCTCTGGCACCTATGCATTCATCTCTCCTTCTCTCAAGCTTGCATCTGTGTGTTGTTCTGGGTGTGACTGTCCACATTAGTTCAGGACACAGTGTTGCCAGCACCTTAAGAATCCTGTTTCTGGTGGCAAGAGATGAGACAGTTCAGTGTGTGGAAACACCTTTCATCCTGGTTTTATGTCATCGTCAGGAAAGATTTGCGTCTTCTTCTGAGCAGTTGCTTGGCACATTGCCTTCTCTGTGGCTAATGCCCACGTCCCAGAGTATAACTAGCCAGGGTGGGTGCCCTCCTGCTGTTCCCCACATTGGAGCTGAGAACATCCCCTCCCGGGTCTGGCTTACCCAAGAGACCACAGCAGGCCTGTGGCTTGCTGCCTCAGAGGAGGGTCACTTTGGGGGTGACGGCAGTCAGTGACTTGGTGAATCCCTCTCGAGGGATTCAGTGTATGAAGTGACTCAGCATATGAGGAATCCTTTTAAGTAGGATCACAGAAAGAGCTGGGGAGACTGACCCCATGGGGTCATGGGGTGGTGGACTCGCCCCCCAGCAGAGGCAAAGCCCAGGGTCATGTATGGGCTCACCTCGAAAGGGGAACTGTAGCTTGGTGCTTACCTGGCCTCTGAGCTGGAGGTCGTGGGTTCAAACTCAGGCTCCATAATTTATTCATCTTTGTGGGCTGAAGAAGCCGTGGGCTCTGCTCACCTCAGTGTCCCATCCATGAATGGAGATATTCATAGTACCTACCTCAGGGTGAGAGGACTTAATGAGCTGCTTGGTATAACCATTTAAAGCAGTGTTACCTGCTCAGTAAATGCTAGTGCTTCTCACTGTTACCTGGTCCAGGGGAGCACTGTCCTGGGTCACTGAGCAGTGTCCAGGGTCACTTCTTAGTCTTCACAGCAAACTCTCCTTAGACTTCTCCAAGATACTTTAAGAAGTGACCTGATGAATAGTCACTTGAGAAGGGCTCTGTTTCGATGGATTTTATTTGGGTCCTGAAGTTGATAGGACCTGGGGCCAGTGTCACTGCTGTGGGTGCTTCCGAGCTGCCCAGCATGGCTGCAGGACCCAACTGCCATGAGGGCGATGATATCCATGGATTAATGTCATGAAAATGGGAAAGGAAATGGAATTTAGAAGGGACCTAGTCAGATGCTTCAACCTCTTTGACACGGGTTAGCTTCTGCCTGCCAGAAAACTGGTCTCCAGCAAGGCAAGTATGACCACTGGGGAAGTGGAGGTGGAATATCCTGGTTGTTAGAAAGATGTTCCTTATTGTGCCAAAGCCTGCAGGCCTGTCCCTTCTACCCATTGATCTCGGTTCCGGGGCACAGTGGCAAGCCCATGGTGTGGTGCCACAGTCAGTACTGCGGGCGTGTGGAGACAGCCGTCTGGTCTCCCCCCGCAACAGCTGCCAAGTGACACCTCCCGCAGGGCCTCGCGGGGCGGTCGGGGGCCCTGCTGCCACCCCACCAGCCCCTCGTACACTCTGCGCCCCGCAGGAGGAGATGGCCGAGCTGAAGGCCCAGCTCTACCTCCTGGAGAAGGAGAAGAAGGCCCTGGAGCTGAAGCTGAGCACGCGAGAAGCCCAGGAACAGGCCTACCTGGTCCACATCGAGCACCTGAAGTCTGAGGTGGAGGAGCAGAAGGAGCAGCGCACACGGTCCCTGAGCTCCACCAGCAGCGGCGGCAAGGACGCAGCCGGCAAGGTAGGGGCAGGCCAGCTCAGCCTCCCCTCCGGCAGAGCCTGAGGCCGGCAAGGTAGGGGCGGGCCAGCTCAGCCTCCCCTCCCGCAGAGCCTCACTCTCACTGCCCTCAGCTTCCTTATTTGCAGAGCAACTGCAGCCATTCTAGAGATCTGAAAGACAGTGTCATTTTGAGTGCAAAGAAACCAAGTCCACATTTTTTCAAACCTCACTTTTTGTAGCAGGTAAAGCACCTCATAGATCACGGTCTCATCCAGGGAGGGGCCTGTGCAGTGGCCCAGGACGCAGGTACTCACCCCACCTCCTCCCCCTGGCCCATGTGAGCATCGGTGTAGATCACGTGGTACTGATCACCACACAGGTCATCTCCCCTAAGAGTTATCCCCATTTACATGAGAAAAAAGAGGTTTAAAAGAATGGGGGGGGGGTGTCTCACAGCTGGTACATGGCAGAATCAGGATTGAACCCCAGTCTGGCTGACTCTGGTCCTCCTCCTCTCGTGTGTTTCCTCCTCTACTTCCTTAAGGTGGAAGGCAGGAGGTGGCCTGAGGCAGAGGAGGAGGAAGGTGAGCCCTGAGTTACCCCAAGGAGCAGAGTGTGGGCTGCCGGTGGCATCATCTTGCAGACTCACACTTTCATTAAGCCTCAAGTCTTTTTTCCTAGAATTCAAGCTCATTCCGTCATCCTCTATTGCAGAATAATTCCAAATACTGCATTGGAGAAAAAAAATAGTCTAGACCCTAAAGAAAAATATCCCTCGTCGCAGGGTGCTATAATTCTGTGCGTGCGATTTTCTGTTGCTGCTGAATGCCAGCTTCTCCTGACCCGTTTATCTGTGGCCCAGGACTGTGGGCATGCAGTGACTTGCTGGTCTAGTGAGTGGCCCCTCATGGCCCAGGTGCAGAGGTGTCTTCACCAGAGGAGTGTCCCTGAGAAGAAAGCCCCTTGCTGATGCTCTGTGGCAGGGAATGGGTCCCCTAAACAGCTAAGAACTGTGCTGCCTGCTCCAGAGGCCAGAGCCGCCCTCTGCCCACTCTCACCTACAAGGCTGCCCAGGGAGCTGGGGCCCCAGCACCCAGCGAGGCTGCTCTCCCAAGGCCCTGCTGCTTCTCAGTCATCCATTCCTGTGATGGGTGTGATCTGGTCCAGGCAAGATGCTGGAGGCAATTCCAGGAGTTTAACTTCCAGTGGGGGACACTGATGGGCAAATAGATGATCACAACACAGGACACAACATCCAGAGTGCAAAGATGGATGTCCGGTGCAAGGGGAGGCCACAGGCCAGACCCACGATCCAGATTTGGAGGTTAGGCGCAGGTTTCCTGAACGCAGACCCAGTGGAGAGTGGGTGCAAGCCCAATGAAGAGGCCAGGAAGGACACGGAAGTGTGCCCTGGGCCGATGGAGCAGCACAGGCCAAGCCCAGGGGGAGGAGGGGTCAGTGTGTTGGCTGGAGAGACCCACCAGCTACCTGTCCTGGGCACGGGGAAGGATCGCAGAGGGGCTTTTGCAGGGAGTGACGTGACACAGTCTGAGCTTTGGAAAGGTCACCATGTGGGTGCGCATGCCGGTGCCTGAGGGGTCTGACCACGGGGCGGGCAGCACTGCTTCTTCGCCCGGGAGGATCCGGGCTCCCAGACGTGGCTTGTCTGTCCTGTGGCAACGGCTTCAGAACCTGTGCTCAGCCTTTGAGTTTGTGAGCCGTCACTGTGGGACAGAACTCCTGTGTTTGCCTGGGTGCTCTTAGGGTGGGCTGGAAGTGGACTTACCAAGCTCTTAGGAGGCCCATGAGCTGAGCTTTTCCCCCTAGTTCTTAGTATTTATTTTGACTGGGGGAAGCACTGTATTTTGTGGAATGGCTCCAAAAAACAGAAATCTCTTTGATGGAGAAGACCAGATGATTTATTTTTATTTTTTTACATTAGAGAACAGAGCTTTTATAAAAGTACCCTGTGTTGTTCAGGTAATGAAATTAGAATAAGCTGATTATTTTGTCTTTCAAAAATTAGATCCATTTACTCTATGAATAATATCTGCCTTCTGGGCTATTCATTTGGTCTTATCTGTTGGTAGATGAGGCAAGCAGTCTGGAGCAGAGGCTGGAGCCAGATAGTCAATATTTTAGGATTTTGGGGTCATACAGACTCTGCTGCACCTATGTAACTCTGCCATTGCAAAATTGTCTCTTCCTTACTGTGAAGGAAGTGACAACACAGACACAGAGGCACATGGCTAGGTTAACAATGCTTTATTTATAGACATTGAAATTTGAATTTCATATGATTCCTACATATCATAAAATAGTCCTTTGATTTCTTTCCCTTGATTTTAAAAATAGAAACACAATTCTTACTCTGTGGGCATTTATAAAAACAGGTGGCCAGTCAGACTGGAGTCTAGAACATCTGTTCTTGCTTCGAGGTAGGGAGGTGGTTGGGTATCATGCTTGGTTTAAAACTTCCCTTCAGCCAACAGGCTGGGTCCCACATCTTAACCAAATCACATTAGGTTTTTTCAGTTCTTGTCTGTATGCTGCAGAGATTACCAGACGTTCTCAGTGAGCGGCACTGGGTGAAACAAAGCTGGCCCTGTCTTTAAGGAGACACGTCAGCCCCGCAGGGGAGTCGATGTCCTCACAGAGGGTGTTGGACTCTGGAGAGATTGCAGAGCTGGTCAGTGGCGGCTCAGGGCTGCAAGACACCAGGCGGAGCGGAGGGAAGAGAGCAGAGCGGGGGGGCGGGAGGAGGGCTCAGACGCGCGCTCTCCTCCTCCGGAGCGCCGGGTGCTGTGGCCCGTCTGTGCGGGCGGCCGAGGCGCCCCAGTGCCTCCCGTCATCTGGACTCTGCCCCTGACTCCTTGACTGCTTGGAGCGCTCACCCACTGAGATGCAGCCTCTGTCTGCATTCGGTCTCGAGTAACAGGTCACAGGCTTTTTCTTCTGGAGCCTGGGTTGTAGTAAATTCTCAGGGAATGTCTGCTGAGCAGATTATCAGATGAGCGCTGTCCGCCTCTGCTTATTCCACAGCAGAGCAGCTGCCCTCCGTCTGTATGCAGACAGCGGGCAAATGGGTACAGCTGTGGTGTTATGAATGGACTGTGCTCCATGCCAGATTTAGGCCTTTTCTGAAGGCTCTTATGTGTCCTCATCTGTAAAACGGGAGGAGTTGGTTTAGGTGATGTCAAAGTTCCTGTCTGATGCCAAGATGTACTTCTGTTTTCCTCCCCTTTTCCTGGGTTTTCTAGATTACCTGACCCCAGTAAAGCCCCTGAATCCAGAGAAGATTGGTTTTCTTCCCGGAGGGTGTGGGATGGGGGGAGGGACCACATAAGCAGGTGTGTTTCCCACGTGTCTTTCCTGAGTGACAGGAGCGCTGACCTGAGTGGGCATCCTGGTTCTGCCAAGTGCTTGCAGTGACTCAGGACAGCATCACTTCCCTGTGCCTTGGTTCCTCCTTGGCCAGGAGGGGATACTGACAGTGTCCACTGCAGAGGGCCGTCACAGTGGTCAGACGAGGGAACTCGTGTGTGTGACCTGGGTGCCCCGTGAGTGCTCTGGACGTGGGGCAGCCTGGGTGCGCTGCGGGCACCTGGCCAGGGCTGCCCTGCACTCTGCTCACCTCCCGCTCTGCCATTGGCGCCCTCAGCTCAGCTGCAGGCCTCACCCGGTGCTTTGCATCCTCAGGAGTGTCCGGATGCCGCCTCCCCCGCCCTGTCTCTGGCCGAACTGCGGACGGCGTGCGGCGACAGCGAGCTGGCTGCGGAGTTCACGAATGCCATCCGTCGGTAAGTGCCCAGCCCGCCACCCAGAAGGGTGGTTTCTTCCAGGGGTGACAGTGTATGCAGGGGTGACGGGGTAGGCCAGGGGTGATGGTGTAGGCCAGGGGTGACAGTGTATGCAGGGGTGACGGTGTAGGCAGGGGTGACGGTGTAGGCAGGGGTGACGGTGTAGGCAGGGGTGACGGTGTAGGCCAGGGGTGACGGTGTAGGCCAGGGGTGATGGGGTAGGCAGGGGTGACGGTGTAGGCCAGGGGTGATGGTGTAGGCCAGGGGAGATGGCTGGGGTTAGTTCTCCCAGCTGCTGACGCCACTCGCCAGGAGTATCACAGGTGCCTGGGAGAGAGGAAGCCCCGTACTGCCTTCTTGTGCAGGCCTGCAGGCCAGAAAGGTGAGTGCAAGAGGAAAGTATATATAGTCATCCCGCCTGCAGAGAGAAAAAGGTCTGCTCCTTCCCCTTTCTGTTGCGGTGTGGCATTGGCTAGAACCTCAGGACTGTGTTAAAAGCTGACAGTCCAAACAGGCGTCTTTGCTATCACTGGGATGGAATATTGCAGGTAAATTCTGTTGGCTCTTTCGGGAATTTTTAACAGTTTCTTTGGCTGCTTTATACATATAGCATACTCCTCAAATATAAAGATAATGAAGTTGATTAAAGAGAAAAAAAAACAAACAGGCATCCTTACCTTGTTTGCAGCTTCAATGAGAATGCCTGCCTCACCATCTCTGTCTTTGCATTCAGACGGCCTCTGTTTATTTACCTCTGGACATTTTCCTCTATTGTGGCTGTTTCTCCCTGTCCTTTCTCTCTAGATCTGTGTTCCATATCCTGACTTTTCATCCTCTGCCCACCCTTTTGCAGTCAGTTCTAGAGCAAGGATATCCAGCAGAAAAGTAATGCAAATCACACTGTAATGTTAAATGTGCTAGGATCCATGGTTTGTTTTTGTTTTTTTTTACTTTTTTTTTTTTCATTTATTTTTATTAGTTGGAGGCTAATTACTTTACATCATTGCAGTGGTTTTTGTCATACATTGAAATGAATTAGCCATGGATTTACTTGTATTCCCTGTCCCAGTCCCCCCTCCCACCTCCCTCTCCACCCGATCCCTCTGGGTGTTCCCAGTGCACCAGGCCCGAGCACTTGTCTCATGCACCCAACCTGGGCTGGTGATCTGTTTCACCCTAGATAATATACATATTTCGATGCTGGGATCCATGTTTTAAAAAAAAGAAACACATATAATCCACTTTAGTAATGTATTTTATTTCACTCAGTGCATCCAAAATATTTCAAAATGTAAATCCATGTCTCTAAAAGATATTCTTTCTTCTAATTTTTCTAATTCTTTTTTATTAAATTTTCTTCTAAATTTTTTTCTCTGTTAAATTTTCAAAATCTACTGTGAATTCAGTACGTTCATACTTGTTGCGCATCAGATTCCCACGAGCCAGCGTGCCCAGCAGTCAGTAGCTCACGTGGCTGTGGCTGCCCTATGAAATAGTGTGGTTCTGGGGAGGTTGTTAAGGTCCGCTTTCCAGCCCACGCCAGTGTTCTTGCCTGAAGAATCCCCATGGACAGAGGAGCCCGGTGGGCTACAGTCCCCGGGGTTGCAAGAGTCGGACACGACTGAGCGACTGAACAGCACATGTACCCCTTAGCTGGAGCCACCGTGGTGTTTGCCTGGCGTGCTGAGTTTGCTCGGTTGATTAAGTCTGTCCTCTCTCTTGTGATGATGTGGCATCTTCTTGCGCCTCTCTGAGGACACTTATACTCAACGTATTGTCTACTGTCCTGACTCTTTCCCCACAGGTGGGCTTCACGGTTGGGTTTGGTGACTTGGCTCCGGCTCGTAAGCTCACGTGCGTGCTTTCTGTCCCTCGCTGCTGACGGAGGGCTCCGGGCCGCGTGTCTGACCCGGTGTCTGGCCCCCGCTCTGACGGCTGGGGCACCCGCGAGACCCCTTCTTCCCTTCGTAGCAGCTTGCTCCTGTGCGCACTTTGAGTTGTGGTTTCCTTTTTCAAGAATAAAACCTGCCTTTCCTTTTTTACGATTGCTCACGGTTTCTGACAAAGAACGCTCCTTAGTTTCTATCATTCTTTAGAATTTTCTTACAAAAATACATTTGCCACCACTTGGGAGGATTTGCAACGGAGGGGAAGGCTACAGTGCACACTCAGGCTGCTCTCGGGGTCCAGCGGGGCTCTTGATACTGTGCTGCCTCCGGCTGACGGTGGACCGAACGCTGCCTTGTCGGGAACCTCGCCACTCTCCTGACTTTGGTCTTTCCTTCCAAGTTGTAATAGCTCAGTTTTTATACTGCCAGCGCTTCTGGCCATGTGGTTAATTGGTAATCACTTCGCTTGAGGAGGGAAGAGAGAAGCTGTGTGGAAAACGCCGTCACCTAATCCTGATGACGTGATTGCACCAGAAACCAGGGACGCAAACCACCCCCTGCTTCCAACTGGGAGCCATTTGGATATTGTGTCTGTAAGCTAAACCCCTGCCTTTTTCAAAGATCCGGAACCTCAGAGGCCCTCGCTGGCACATGCAGGTTGCAGATTCTGCTGACTAAACATAAAGAGATTTCATTTGTTCTGTCAGTCACAATGGATTTCCAATAGCCAGCCTTGAGTTGGTTAGCATGGATTTCTAATCAAGCCCCAGATATATGGAGCCAAGAAAGAACCCACAGGGCTACAGGAAAAAGGAAAATAACATAATTATACTGTATACATAGCTTAGAAATGGGAATTGTTATTTCATGAGGGTGTATAATACAGATGCCCAAGCACTGAGGTTTGGGGTGTTTTTCTTTTTAAAAGTCAAGTGGAAAAAAAAAAAGTCAAGTGGAAACTACCACCTTCCTTGAAGGTGTTAAATCACCGCCAAGCTAGTGGCTGAGTCAGTCGAGGGTTTCCTCCCAGAATTTTCAGACCTATTCCTTCTTTGGAAAATGATGCTTCCAGACACCGAAGTTGTGGGCCCCAGGAACAGGTCTGAAGAGAGGGGGTGGGGTAGAGGGGCGGGCAGAGGCTGTGTGTGCTGACTTACAGTTCGTGTCCAACTCTTGTGGCCCCATGGACTGTAGCCCGCCAGGCTTCTCCATCTGTGACTCTCCAGGCAAGAAGACTGGAGGGGTTACCATGCCCTCCTCCAGGGTATCTTCCTGACCCAGGGATTGAACCTGCATCTCTTGCATCTCCTGTGTTGGCAGGTGGGTTCTTTACCACTGGCGCACCTGTGGCGGAGGCTAGGCGCGGGCTTTTCTGGCGGGAGCCCCAGGAAGGGCCTTGCAACGCTCCAGTCACTGCCTGGCTCCTGTCCTGCCCCAGCGGCTGCGGCCCCGCACCCAACCCTCTTCTGTCTGGAACAAAACCAGGCCTCCATGCAATCACACATTTACCACCTAACTTCCATCTGAGCTGATTTCATTCCCTCCACTTCCGTGAATACTTATGGTGGGATCATGGCTCCGGGCTTGCCATAAAACCCCATCTGGATAACCAGGTTTCCTGTCTTGCACATGAGGAGTTTTCTTATCGGGCCACCTTGTCTTCACTGTTGTCTGCACAGGCTGTGTGCTGCAAAGCCCTTCTCCACCCCAGATCCCTCTCTTGCTCACATTCCTAGTAAAATCTAACTGAACAGCCTTCCCACCAGAGAAGTAAGCTATGACAATGCAGCTCAGGAGAGGGAATTTCAGAAAGGAGTCCTCTTGTACTTCTGTGGTATTTGTGTAGCCTACCTTGAGGACCCGGGCACAGCTGAGAAGAGCAGACTGTTTCTTCATCATGCTTAGGAAGCAACAAGGAGGAGGTGGTGTCCCCCGTATGAGGTGGAGGAGGCAGGGGCGGGGAGACTGGACAGCAAGGCTGAGTGGTCACGCAAGGTCACACAGCCAGGCTGCGAGGAAATCACAAGCCACTGCTTTCTCCACTGGACTCCATGTGCTGGCAGGGGGCTGCTTACCCACTGAGTGTGAGCCGAGCCTGCTCGTGGGCTTCTTCCCTGTCTATAAAATTTATTTCTTGATTCTTGTGTGCCCTGAAAGTGAGAGCCGCTCAGTCATGTCCGACTCTTTGTGACCCCATGGACTATACAGTCCATGGAATTCTTCAGGCCAGAATATTGAGAAATATCAATAACCTCAGATATGCAGATGACACCACCCTTATGGCAGAAAGCAAAGAACTAAAGAGCCTCTTGATGAAAGTGAAAGAGGAGAGCGAAAAAGTTGGCTTAAAACTAAGATTATGGCATCCAGTCCCATTACCTCATGGGAAATAGATGGGGAGACAGTGGAAACAGTGTCAGACTTTATTTTGGGGGGCTCCAAAATCACTGCAGATGGTGACTGCAGCCATGAAGTTAAAAGACGCTCACTCCTTGGAAGGAAAGTGATGACCAACCTCGATAGCATATTAAAAAGCAGAGACATTACTTTGCCAACAAAGGTCCATCTGGTCAAGGCTATGGTTTTTCCAGTGGTCATGTATGGATGTGAGAGCTGGACTGTGGAGAAAGCTGAGCACTGACGAATTGATGCTTTTTAACTGTGGTGTTGGAGAAGACTCTTGAGAGTCCCTTGGACTGCAAGGAGATCCAACTGGTCCATCCCAGAGGAGATCAGTCCTGGGTGTTCATTGGAAGGACTGATGGCTGAAGCTGAAACTCCAGTACTTTGGCCACCTGATGCAAAGAACTGACTCATTGGAAAAGACCCTGATGCTGGGAAAGATTGAAGGCGGGAGGAAAAGGGTACGACAGAGGATGAGATAATTGAATGTCATCACCAACTCAATGGACATGATTTTGGGTAAACTCCAGGAGTTGGTGAAGGACAGGGAAGCCTGGCATGCTGCAGTCCATGGGGTCACAAAGAGACACGACTGAGCAACTGAACTGAACTGAACTGAGCCTTTCCCTTCTCCAGAGGATCTTCCCAACCCAGGGATTGAACCCAGGTCTCCCTCATTGCGGGCGGATTCTTTACCAGCTGAGCCAC